CAACCTCTTGTCTCAGTATTTCAAAATCTTTGATCATTTTATCTTTGAAATCGTTGAGTTCTTGAGTCATCTTCTGAATAATTTCTTGAGATATCTTTTGAATAATTTCTTGAGAAATCTTTTGAATAATTTCTTGAGCTCCTAATTCCTTCCTTTCTTCCAGTCTGTTAATTGTATTTGCTATCCACATTCTGAACTCGATTTCTGACATCCCAGCCATTTGCTTGTGGATGTGGTCTTCAATTGTGTCTTCCCCATTTTCCCTTGAAGGAGTTGATGTATTCTGGTTATTTGAGTTGCTAGAGTTTTTCCTCTGGTTCTGCCCCATGCTGAGTTTACCTTGTTTGGAGGCCTTATCAGAACCGTTCAGTTGGTGGCTTCTTCTCTTGCCCGTAGAGACAGGCAGAGTGTGTCTGTTGTCTTCTCCCAGTTCTTGGGAGCTGGGGCAGCCGGGGTGCTGTGGAATAGCAGCAGCTGCACCGGAGTGTGCATGGCCGGATTAGACCTTGTTCAGCCTGCCGGGTGAGCGGGGGGCAGGAAACTGGCAGCAGCCAGATCAGTCCTAGTTCGGCCCCTCTGGGGCAACCGGTGGAACAGGGGAACTATAGTGGCTAGATCAGTCCTAGTTCAGCACCTGGAGCAGCCAGGGGTTAGGGGAATGGCAGCGGTAGCGCAGGGTATGCAAGTGACCAGATTAGTCCTAGTTCAGCCCCACCAGAGCAGCTGGGGAGAAGTGGGGGACTACGTCACCATCACCCATTGGACATGTGGGGCGCTAGCAAGCCGATCTGTGCCCTCCCAGTGAGGGAGCCTGGAGTGGGGAGCTCCTCCACCTCTGTCCAAGGGACGTATGTGGCTCTAGCAAACAGTTCTGGGCCCTTCAAGAGTGGTAGAGCCCTCCTGCAGGGCGAACGTCGCTCTGGCAAGCAGTTCTAGGCCCACCCAGCTTGGGGGCCTGGAGCTATTTGTATAATTTCAAGCAGGTTTCTGGCCTAGTCTGCAAGAGCTGGACTATTTTATTTTACTTACTGTTTTCGGGGTTCATTCTGTGGTAGCATTTGTCAGAATTTTATTCCTTTTTAAGCTTGAATAACAATCCATCATATGTATATACTACATTTTGTTTATTCCTTTGTTTCTGGCTATTTGGGTTGTTTCTACTTTTGGCTGTTATAAATAATGCCACTATGAACATGGCATGCAAATATCGGTTTAAGTTCCTATTTTCAATCGTTTTAGGTATATTAAAAGTAGAATTGCTGGATTATGTAGTAATTCTGTTTTTATCTTTTGGGGGCATTGCCAAAGTTCCACAGTAGCTGCACCGTTTTTAATTCCCACCAGTTATGCACAAGAGTTCCAATTTCTTCACATTCTCATCACATTTATTTTCCATTTTATTTTTTTGGTTTTTTTAAAAAAAATAATAGCCATCCTAATTGGTATGAAGCAGTATCTCATTGTGGTTTTGAGTTGCATTTCCCTAATGACTAATGCTGTTAAGTGTCTGTGTAGATCTTTAGGGGAAAAGTTGTCCCGGTATCTAGTCCATCTCTGAGGGTTTCTTTTGTTCCCAAACCGGGACCCATTGTTCCTCACTGGCTTTTTAGCTCATCAATGGCTTCAAGCAGCTGTCTTAAACATTTTTTTCCAACTTTTCTAGCTGTTCTCAATGGGATGGTTGACCCCCATTACCTAATCCCATCATTATCTGTAGTTTTTTTGTTTGTTTGTTTAGCTATGGTTTTGCAAAAGAAACGAAAAGAAGTTTAAAAATAATTAAATGTAATTTTAGAAAAGACAATTCTTTATGAAACTTATGAGTATCACTAAATCTTTACTCAGTAAAAATATTTCTATAGAAGATGGAGATTGTATTGACTAGGTACATAGTATATGGGAGGAAATGGTGAGATTTGTTCTCAATCCTACAGTATTTCAAGAGGGGAAAATGTGCTTTAAGCACATACTGTTAGGAAAATTGCACTTATTTTATATAGATCTCCTGCGTAAATAGCATGTTCACAGAGGTTTTGTTGGGAGCTCCCAGGACTACTACTAGATTTGATGATGTGAAAGGAAGACTCACAAGATTCAACATACATTCATGACTCTGATGAGAGTAAAAGGACAGAAAGCAAAATCAGCAAATGCAAAAGGCACATGAGATGAAGACTGGAGGAAAACAGGTGCATGCTTCTAGGAGTCCTCTCCCAGTAGTATCATAATGGGCATACTTAGTTCCAGGAACACATGGTCACTGTGTGAAATGTAGCCTCTCAAAGATGCTTATCCAAGCCTGGTTGTTCAGGGCTTTTACTGGGAATGAATCACGTAGGCCTATAGCCCCTACATAACTAACCTCAGTTTCAGATCATTATAAATCATGTTGTTAGCATAAACTATCTGTATAAATTACTATGGTAAGACTTAAGGTTTCACACATGCAAGACATTTTTATCCGACAGACCATCCCAAGAACTCAGTTCCCAGGAGCAAGCCAAGGGTTAGGCATGAAAACAGCCCAGCCCTGCTAAGTTGATCTTTTTCTGCACAGAAGTTAGCCCTGACCAAACCTGAAGAAGGGAGCACCTCTTGTTATTCTCTAGTCCCTTTCTATTTTGTAATATAATCATATGTTTGTTGGAAGCTAATTAAATAACAAAAATTTAATAATTTTTAAATTTGTCTATTATCATTATTTCTTCACTAGAATATAAGTTCTATGACGCTGAATAAACTTCAGCCTGTAGTTTAATTTAGTTTATTCACTCCTGTTTCCTAAGTATCTAAAATAGTGCTTGGCACATAGTAGATACTCAATAAACATTTGTTAAATAAATGAAAGAATGGAATTTATTGTTTATGTAATTACTGAGGAATGCCAGTAATGTTTATTGAGTCTCAATTATTGGGACATGCTGTTATCCTACCAATGACAATTTTTGTCTGTTCTTTCTCCCTCCTAAACAGGTCTATAATTCAGCAGCCAGATCATTCCCTCGAAGATTTGTTTTGCCCTTGAATGTAGGTTTGAATGCCCCTGAAGGAGAGAACCTGAGTCCATTGTCCTATTCTTCAGCCAGTGCTGTAAAACAGGCCGATGGAAAGGTATGGTATGAGCCGACATTAGACTAAGATTAATGTTAGGAAGTATAACTTTTACTGATGTTACTTTATTCGTTGGCTATTCTCCACAATATTTAGTGCCTAATAAGTTTGATGATATTCAGCCAAGCAGGGTAAAATCAGGGAATATGTTTTGTACAAGATTTTCAGACACTGAGTTGGAATGAGCACTATGTTTTTCTGTATCCTTTGTGTGTTTTGAAACAGAGATATACAACTTCCTGATGGTCATGGGATGCCTAAGCATTTGAGATTGGCACTGGCAATTCCCACCTTTTAGATAATATGTGCTTTCCACAAGCTTATTGTGCAGCTAGCAATGTCTTAGCTTTAGCAGAATAAAAAGTGTACTTCTACCACCTATGACATTTGACAGCTTACTCATAAAATCTGATAATCTTTTATGCATTCATATGTATGATGAAAAGAGGAAACATACTAAAAAATGACATAGATACTCAGTATACAAGCCTCATTACAAACTCCTGTAAGGCATTCGTTCTCTCACTGACCCACATAAAAAGAAAACAAATGAGAATTAAGCAACCATTATAAATCCTGTTGGAATCTCTTTTAGATCTGGTGCTCTCATGAAAATCTACATCACGAGGACCTAGAGGAGGAAGGAGGCCTTGAATTTCCCCAGATCAACTATGGCCAATTTAGTGGCAAAAAGTATAATTTCTTCTATGGCTGTGGCTTTCGACATTTGGTGGGGGACTCTCTGATCAAGGTTGACGTGGTGAATAAGACACTGAAGGTGATGAAAATCTCTATCCTTTTCTGAACTTTTTATTCTTCCCTTTGAATTAGTTGTTTTAAAGTAGCTCTTGACTTTTTTTAAATTTATTTTTTATTTTTAACTTATTTGCTTTTTTTTTTATTACAATGTTTGCATGCATTAGGTTAAGTCCCTGTTGTGCTTTTATCCTGCACCCAGGAGGTGTGCTCTATGCCCTTACATTATGCCCATTATATGGGAGCACACCAAACCTACTCCCTCCTCTCCCTCCCCTTTCCTGCCTCCCCCCTCCCCCCAGCTCAAATTAAATCAAGTTTTTCTCTTGTGTGGGCAGTGTATTAGATCATCTACTGTCTTCATATTATTATTGAGTATATTGCTTACTTGCTTTTCCATTCTTGTGATACTTTACTAAGAAGAATGTGTTTCAACTCCATCTGGGTTAGTATAAAAGATGTAAAGTCTCCATCTTTTTTATGACTGAATAGTATTCCATGATATACATATACCACAGTTTATTAATCCATTCATGGGTTGATGGGCAGTTGGGTTGTTTCTATATCTTAGTGATTCTAAATTAAGCTGTGATAAACAATCTAGTGCAAATGTCCTTATGATAAAATGATTATTTTTTTCTCTTGGGTAGATGCCTAGTTGTGGGATTGCAGGATCAAATGGAAGGTTGATTTTGAGTTCTTTGAAGATTCCCCAGACTTCTTTCCAAAGAGGCTGTATTAGTTTGCAATAACACCAGCAGTGTAAAAGTCTCCATATATGTGCCAGCATCTGCAACTTTGGGACTTTGTCATGTGAGCTGTTCTTACTGGAGTTAGGTGATATCTTAGGGTGCTTTTGATTTGCATTTCTCTGATGATTAAGACAATGAGCATTTTTTTCATATGTTTCTTGGCCATTCATCTGTCTTCTTCAGAGAAGGTTGTGTTCATGTCTCTTGCCCAGTTATAGAAGGTATTGCTTGCTCTTTTTTTGTTGATTAATTTGAGTTCTGTGTAGATTCTAGTTATCAACACTTTGTCAGATTTGTAAGATGCAAGTATCTTTTCCCATTCAGAAGGTTGTCTATTTGCTTTGATTGTTGTGTCCTTAACTGTGTAAAAGCTTTTTAGCTTAATTAAGTCCCATTTGTTTATTTTTGTTGTTGTTCCTATTGCCACTGCTGTCCACTTCATAAAATCTTTCCCCAGGTAGACATCATCAAGAGTTTTTCTCTTGCTTTATTTTTGGGTTTTTATCATTTCATATCTTAGGCTTAAATTTTTAATCCATCTTGGGAGGCACCTGTAGCTCAAAGGAGTAGGGTGCTGACTCCCAGCCCTGGCTAAAAAAAAAAAAAAAAAAAAAAATGTCAAAAAAAATTTTTTTTTAAAAATCCATCTTGAGTCAATTTTTATAACCAGTGAAAGAGTCAGTTCTAGTTTGGTCTTTTACATGTGGTTATCCAGTTCTCCTAGCACTCTTTATTGAATAGATATTGTTTTCTCCAGTGTATGCTTTTGTTTGATCAGATGGCAATAGGAAGCTGGTTTCATCTCTAGGTTTTCTATTTTGTTCCAAATGTCTATGCCTCTATATTTGTGCCAATACCATGCTGTTTTGATCACTGTGGACTTGTAATATAGTCTAAAGTCTGGTAGAGAAATGCCTCTGGCTCTTATTACTAAGAATTGCCTTGGCTATATGGTTTTGTTCCTGGTTCTATACAAAGCAAAGCCTTGTTTTTCTAGTTCTTCAAAGTATGATGTTGGTATTTTAATGGGGATTTCATTAAACCTATAGATTGCTTTGAGTACTATGGACATTTTAACCATGTTGATTCTTTCCAGCAAAGAGCATGATATGTTTTTCCATTTATTAATGTCTTCTGCTATCTTTTTTTTTTTCCTTAGGATTTAATAATTATCTTTGTAAAGTTCCTTCACCTTTTTTATTAGGTATATTCCTAGGTCTTTCCCTTTTTTTGAAGCTATTGTGAAGGGTATTGTGCCCTTGATTTGCATGTTAACTTGACTATTATTGGTGTATACAAAGGCTACTGATTTGTGGACATTGATTTTGTACCCTGAGACATTACTATATTTCTTGATCACTTCCAGGAATCTTGTAAGTGAGTCTTTGGGGTTCTGTCAGTATAAGATTGTATCAGAGAGTGAAAGTTTGACCTCCTTTGCCCCCATTTGGATACCCTTAGTAGTCTTCTCTTGCCTGATTGCATTGGCTCGAACTTCCAGAACTAGGTTGAATAGTAATGGCGATAGAGGACGGCTTTGTCTTGCTCCACTTCTAAGTGGAAAAGCTTTCAGTTTACTCCATCAGTATGACATTGGCTTTGAGTTTGTTATAGATGGCTTCAATCAGTTTAAGAAATATGCCATCTATGTCTATTTTCTTAAGTGTTCTTCTTAGAAAAGGATGCTGAATTTTATCAAATGCTTTTTCAGAATCTATTGAGTGGATCTTTGTTTTTGCTTCTATTGATATGGTATATTACATTTATGGATTTGTGTATGTTAAGTGAACCGTGCATTCCTGGGGTGAAGCCCACTTGATTATGATATATAATTTTTTTAATGTGTAGCTGCAGTCTATTTACTAGGATTTTATTGAGTATTTTTGCATCAGTGTTCATTAGTAAATTTGGTCTACAGTTCTCCTTTTTTTAAAATTTCTTATAGTATAACTATGTACATTAATGCAATCATGGGGTACAGTGTGCTGTTTTCATATACATTTTGAAATACTCTCATCAAAATGGTCAACATAACCTTCATGTCATTTTCCTAGTTATTTAGTTAAAACAGTCATACTCTGCTTTTAGAAAGATTCACTTGTACCCTTGTAAGATAAACCATAGAGGTGACCCCACCAACCTCCCTCCCTCTCCCATCCAGCCCCCTGACCTCCCCCTCACACCCCCTTCCTATATTCTAAGGCTATAATTAGGTTATGACATTCCTATAAAAGCTATGAATTAGTTTCCAAGTAGGGCTGTGTACATTGGATATTTTTTCTTCCATTCTTGAGATACTTTGCTAAGAAGAACATTTTCCAATTCCATCCATATAAACATGAAGGAGGTAAAGTCTCCATCCTTCTTTAGGGCTGCATAGTATTCCATGGTGTACATGTACCATGGTTTATTGATTCATTCGTGGGTTGATGGGAATTTGGGCTTCTTCCATGACCTAGCAATTATGAATTGGGCTGCAATAAACATTCTGATACAAATATCTTTGTTGTAATGTGATTTTTGGTTGT